GAATTGTGGCATGACTCCCCCTGCCCCCAGATGATTTCTTACTTTCTCTCTTGCTGTCTCTGTCTCTCTCCAGCACGTGTATATCCCAATGGCAAATACCTTGGGAAAAAAAGTTTACAAAAGCCTTTTCTAGGAAGGTCATGAGTGAGTCCTGAGAAGCATAGTTTACTGTTAGGAGGAAGTCTGTGGTCAAATATCAAAAGTAGGCATCTGGCAGAAATACCAACAGATATTTAAGTGTGTTCTGCATCTCAGCTTGAACATTCAGGAGTAAGCCAAAATAGAACACTTCTTTGGGTAAAATCCATGTCCTTGGCCAGTCCAGGGAGCAGGACATGAAGGGGAGAGGAAGTATTTTGTCAGTGCTTGGTCAGAAAATACTGATACCTGAGGCTAAAAAGAAGATATTACAGGTACCTTGGTAGTGATGTGAAAGCCCACAGTTTGGACTGATTAGTTCTACATGTGTAGTTATCCCTTCACCTGAATTTTCCCTTCACTTCCATCAGGAATATTCTTTTTGTTCTTTTCTTCTGCATTGAATCTTTCTGCTTTCTGTATGTGATACCTTCCTTTTCTTTGTTCCCTGTCATGTTTGGTGGAGGACATTCTTCAGTAGCTTTATTAAAGCATGTGGAGGGTAAAATTTTTGAGCCCTTAATGTTTATATTCCAGTCTTAAACATGATTGATAATTTGACTGCATATAGAATTTTAGATTGGAAATCATTTGTCTTTAGTTTCGTTTTTTGTTTTTGTGAGAGATTTTTGCTGCTGGGCACATGCACTTGCTAGAGAGACAGAGAGACAGAAAGTGAGAAATCATCCCCCAGGGAGGGTGGTCATGCTGCAGTTACTTCTCTACTCTCCTCTTGGGATCTTGGGCACTCACACACACACGCTCCCGGCATGAGTTTTAAGTCGCCAGGTCTGAGACTTGAACCGCAGTTGACTGTGCGGGAGTCCAGCAATGTAACCATTGTACTATCTGCTTGTTCCTGTCTTTAGAATTGTGGGGAAATTGCCTCGTGTGTTCTTCCTTATGTTATTATTGAAGAGCTTAAGCCATTCTGATTCCTGACTTTTTATATGTGGCTTATTTTTATAGCATTTTCCTCAGGAAAGCTGTAGAATCTTCCCCTTATTACTTGTGTTTTGACATTTGGCAAAGAGCAAATTACCTGTGGCTTTATTTTTATCTTTGGAAATTTAAGGAGTCTCTTATCATTCGTGTTTTGGAATTTTTTGGAATCAACTATGGAAGTTTAGAGAATCTTCTGGAACTTGGAATTTTTTTCCCTTTTCCTCTAGTGTTCTGACATGTCATTGTAGAGCAACCTTATGTACTGTTATCATTGTAGAGCAACCTTATGTACTGTTAAGTCAATTGTGCTGGGTGTTTATTAGGTCCTTCTAATCTGGCCATTCATATCTTTCAGTTCTGGGACATTTTATTTTAAAAAAATAATTCTCTTTTTTTGGAACTCTTAGGATAGTGTTCTTTTTTTCCTCTCTGCTTTCTTTTGTTTGTTTGGTTTGATTTGGCCTGGTGTGGTTTTCAAGCCATTTGAACTGGTGATCAGCCTTATAGGACCACCAAGCCACAAGACTGGCCTATTTGTGATTTTCTTTAACTCTGTCGCTTACTACTTCCATTGAATTTTTCATTTCTGCTACTGCATCTTTTAGTTTTGAAAATCTCTTTTAGATTCTCTGAACTTTTTTTTCATAAAATAACATTTTACTATTTCATAAATAACAAATTGTTATCTCTCAGAATATGTTAATGATAGCTTTTTGGATAGCTTTCTTTTCCATTCTTATTGTCTACTTCAAGTTTGAAATCTTTCTATTTTTCTTTTCTCCCCCAGTGTCTACATATCTTTGATTAAAAGTTGGAAATGTAAAAAGTGTGTTAGTGTGGCTTGTTTAGAGCTTTACTCTGGATTATCTGTGAGTGATTATTGTGATTTTCAATGTCAGTATCTTTGTCTCTTTCCTCATAGGGTGGGACTTTCTTTAATGAAAAGTCTTCACAATACTGCTTGAGGGAGAGCACTGGGGACTCCTGTATTGAACCTTTAGTGCCTTTTGTTTCCAGATTCTGTTATCCAGAGACTTTATGTTTATTCTCCAGAGATGAATTCTGCTGTGGTCAGAGTGGATCTAGGGACCTAAATGTTAGTCATTATCTCTTGCCTTGGTAGTATAGACCCTGTTTTTTTGTTTTGTTTTGTTTTTTTTAGACCCTGTTTTCTGAAGATTTTGCAGATTGGTTTGGTCTCAGATTTCCTCCCTCTTGTTCTAGGATTTGAAATTTACTTTTAAATCAGTTGTCACTGTCTATCTGCTTCTAACTTGTAATATTTATTACCAGTTATCTGTACTTCTCATTTATTTTATGTCATTGAAAAGCCTTTTATGGAAGATTGGTATTGAAAAGGAGCAAATTTAGATGCAAATTGTCAGTGTAACATCCACAGTCAACTCAGAAAATCCTTGGGTGAGCTAGTTAAGAAGAGGAATCCAGGACCAGCAGATGGCGTAATGCTTACTTCGCTGGACTCCCACATAATCTACTGCAGTTCGAGTCCTGGATCCAGTGGCTTAAAACTCATGCCAGGCATGTATGCTTTCATATGTGCCCAAAGTCCTGAGAGGAGAATAGAGGAGAAGGGACTGTGGTATGTCTATCTCCCCTGGGGGCTGATTTCTCACTTTCCGTCTCTCTGTCTCTGGTGATCACATGCCTTATAGCAAAAATCTCTCTTAAACAAAAAAAAGAAGAATCCACCAAATTGCCAGAGGGGACAGGATACAGTGAAGGTGAAGAACCATTCCGAGTCCTGCCACTTCATATTGTACACATTGGATCATTAAGCTCTTGCTTTCTTTCAAACTTCTTGATTTTTCCTACTCCCCCCCTTTTTCTTAGATGTAGTGGGTATCTGGAGGTTAAAATTCCTTGGAATGAAAACTCTCAGTAGCCTTTACTATATCTTACTCTTCACTGTGCAGTGTTTTATCCTTCTATCTCAAGGCCTCATTCTTTCTCCACTTAATACTTGGAAAAAGTTTTTTTTGTTTTCCTTGCCAAAGGGTTTATGTACTTAGCAGAGAAACAGAGACAGGAGAAAGCATCCCAGTGGGGTATAGTCACAGCACAGTCCTTACTCTTCCATTGCACCATCCTTTTGGAATCTGAGGCATATGTAAGTGCCTTGCATGTTTTTCAAGCCACCAGGCCAGGATTTGAACTATGATTGGCCATATGTGATCCAGCTCCCTTAACCGCTAAGTTATGGAGCCAAGCCTATGTTACTTTTTTTTGCATATAGAACTAGTAAGTAATCAGAGGAGGCTGCTCTGTAATCTATGGATGTATTCAGTGAAAGCTCTTGTGCCTTCCTTCTCTGGGGTCATGATGGGCAGCAGCAAGATGGCATCTGCCAGCAGGGTCGTGCAGGGAGTCAAGCCACATACGCCATTAGTAAGGTTCTCTGCCATTAGTAAGGTTCTCTGACAGAAGTCTGAAACCACGTGTATCAGAAACTTGGAGATCAGCAGGACCACCATCCCATTCTTCTGCAGTCTCAGTATTCTAAGGGAAGTAAATCACCAGATTTGCTGATGTATTAGGGTCCACCAGACACAGCAGAAATAATACAAACTGTGCCCCAGAAGTACAGAAGAAAACTTGTGTCTCAGGAAGAAATTTCATTTATCCACCATGGTGGTCCAGAGTAATCACAGTGGCTGCTGTTTTCATCAGACGGAAGATTTGTCTTTACAAAAAGGACTTCCAAAATGAGAAATTGCATATTAAACAATTTACTTTAATAAATATTCTGTAAAAAAAAAAGAAATATAGAAAATTTAGATAGACTTTTGTATCTCCTAATTTATGTATTTTGGTCAGCTCTAAGTTTACCTAATTGTTTATATACTTTATTAAAGTATACATTTTTAAATGTTAGCCTGTTAGTTAACTCTTAATTATCAAGTATCATCAGTGTTAAACTATTAAAAGCACTCAGTGTCTAATAAACTAAAAAAAAAAAAAGCTCTTGTAATATTTGTTTGTTTTCCACTACAGCCTAGAAATAAGATTTTTAGATTAGTGTATCATTCTTCTGTTAACTGATTTCTCAAAGACTTTTTTTCACAAATCCCAAATGACCAACTGCAGTCCAAGTTCCGAACCCCAGCAGCCTGAAAATCACTCCGGGCACATGTGCGTGCCCAAAGTCCCAAGAGGAGAATGGAGGAGAAGGGATTGCAGCATGGCCATGGTGGATGATTTCTCACTTTCCCTCTCTCCATCTCTCTCTAGCGAGCACACATGCCCTGCAGCAAGATGAATATTTAAACAAATACTGTATTAAGCATATGACTTCTTAAATGTTTTTTCCTACATATTGATCTTTATTCAAAACTTTTTTTAAATGTGCTTTTAGTAGGAGGGATGATCATAAAGGATTCCACGGGGCTATGAAAATATATTTAACATATTTTTAAAAATTTTGAAATAATACAGAATCACAGGAAATTACAAAGATAGGACGCAGATGGCCTGTGTTCTTTGCACCCATTTCCCCCCAGCGATTACATCTTGACTAACAGTTATAATTATGTTTTGGTCACTCAGTCAAGGTGTTCGGTTTCTCCGTTGTGTATTTATTGATTTTGCCACTAAAGTAACAAGCAGGCTGGCTAGATACTTTGAGACCATGCAGATCAAACTTGGACCCCAAGATTTAAGCATGGTTCTACCAATATAGCGATCCTTGCCCAAATCAGTCTTTATTTTGAAGATTCAAAATAGGTCAGGGCCTTTCTAAATTAGCTTGTCCTGAAAATTCAACTTGTTTTTGCAAACATTTGTTTATTTATTTTAAGGTTTTGATATGTACATATCACATAAAATAATTCCCAGTGTATTTCAATTTAAAGTGTTTTTGAACCTCTGGTTTATTTTTAAACCTTTGCTGCCCTCTGCAGGTCTATGGATATAAATCTCTGGAGCAAGGTGAGTACTCCTAGTATTGCAGATCATAATGTAAATAGAAAGCCATGGAGCTTTTTGAGAGCAAATGTTTTATGAATACCTTCACATAATTATAATCACAGTAATAAGTTAACAAATTTATAATCTTGAAGTTGGTATATTTAAACCAGCTGAAATATATTCTGGAAGTAGATCTTGACTTAGTCCTAAATGATTACTTAAGGTTTTCAACTTTTCTGAAAGCAAACTCTTAAAATACTACAGTGCCTTTTGAACTTACTTTAATCCTAGATTTTCTCACTGTATGTGAGGGGCTTTTCATTAAAAGCATGGAACATGTTTGATGAAAGAAAACTACTTACGAATTTCAAAATTTCTTCACACCAAAATAAACTCAGACTTGAATTCCATTATTCCATGAGCTTTTTGAGATGTTCTCGTATGTATATTCATTTGTGTTTCTGTATATGAATGATATACAGATCAACTTTATACTGTTACAGTTTTAAGACGTTAACTGATTTTTTGCAGTAAGAGCAATTATAGTGAATTACAAGAAGGATTTTGAACTTAATAAAATTCGCATTTTTAACTTGGGATTTCTAATTTTAAATATACTTCATAAATCTAAATTTTATTCTATTCTATTTCTAACGTTAGTCAAACTGCCATTCCAACTGTGTAGTCAGTGCTAACGTATAGTCAGGGTATTACATATAGAAATAACTCCTTTTTGACCAGAGAGATTTTCATTGGTTTATTCATTAATTGTATCTTTGTTCACAATTTTATATTAAATATGGCTGTCTTTAATTTATGACTACAATTTCTGTAGAGTTTGTTACATTCTACAAACAGTTGACTAAAAACAGTTTGTAGGTAAGGATTCATTTCGTTTTGCTCTGCTTTTTAACAATCCTCATTTCTACCTTAACTGTCCCTTGGATTGCCATTTACCCACAGTGGGATTTTTCATGATGGCATATGATCACTTTTGCCTAATTTTTCAAATTAGCAAGGAAATAGAAGTAACTAGCCTTTAACACTGACAATATATGCCAGGCACTGTTGTAGGAGCAAGTAAGTCCAGTCATAGTAGATACCTAAAGTAGTCCAGAATTCCTAAGTTAGATCACTTTGGACAACCACTATATGTTCCCATTCTTAGTGTCTTCAGCCTGAGGATATACAGTCATAGGCTGTGTGCAGTCTTCCAAGTCAGCACTGCAGCTTGCATAACAATTTTTATAGCAAAATTTATATTTGGACTTGTTAAAGTTTTATAGAATAAGTGTTCAAAAATAGTGTTGTATATGTTTTTTAGTGTTGGTAAAGTCGATTGGTAATGATCCATGAGAATCAACACTTTAGAACTATTTGCCTCTTTTATTTTAGTGCCATTCAAATGAATGTGAAAATATCATTGAATAACTAAAACATACATTATTCAGTGGTCTAGGCTATTTTACTTTATTATTTCTGTTAAACCTTACTTCGTAGGAGGAAAATGGTCTCATTTCAACAAGCATACAAACAATATGATGAGAAATAATATTGGTTGATAATTCCTGTAAGCCATTTTCTATTTATAACAATTCATTTAAAATGATACATAAACAAATCAGTTTAGAGACTTTCCTGTGACGTTTCATAAAACATTGCAGTTTTCCTTCAACCTGGGTTTGTTTTTGTTTTAAAAAAGACAAACCTATTATTTAAAAACAATCTCTTTGGCGGGTGGGGGTAGTGTTGAATTACTGTGATGTAGAATAATACCTTACTGCAAAGAGGCTTTATAATTTCAAGAATTCAATTTCAGATTGTATTTGTTCTTGTTTGCTTCTCTTGCTGCAATGCACGAATTTTCTGTCTTACCAGATAACAGAATTGTTGTACAAGGATGGACGTTATTGCCAAGAGCCTCCAGGACCAACGGGTAGCGTTTCAATTTCGATGATTGTAACTTATCCACAAATCCATTCTTCTGTGTAATGATGGGCTAGAAGGATTACAGCAGTAAACACTTTCTTTCTGAAACTGAAATGTGAAAACATTGGGTTATAAATCTTTATATCGATAAGCACATTTTAAAATCTGTGAGATGTTCAATTTTATTATAATTATTTTTTTAAGACAAGGTTGGGAGACTGCTTCTTTTCAGATCGAGGATATGCTTTTTATAGCACCTGTATGGAAATAGTCTTACAAATCCACTATTCTTACTTAGTGTTTATATCATTTTAGTGTTTTGTAGGAGTAGTTAATTTTAAACATCTGAAGTGTAGGGGCTTGTGGATTTTCTTACTCTTAAATATAATTAATTACCCAATATGCATTATTTTACATTTAATGTTACTTTTCTATGATGACACTTAGAATAAATAGTTTTCTGCAAGAAAGTACCCTTCTTGAAAGTTCAAATCTCCTATCCTAGGTATTAACTCATGGCCCTATAAATTTTATGCTTGAACGCATAGGAAAATTACTGTTGTTACAAAACATCTTTGTTAATCTTGATTTTTCATTGGCTAATAGGCAGCTCTCCACAGGATTACTATATCCACTTATTAAAATTATTTAACTTTATACTCAACATTTAACAGTCCTTTTCTAATTTCATATGATTCCCTAAATATTAGGCACAAAAAAAATTAGTATAGAAATGTGTGCAAGACATTTATTCTTACTACTTGTGATTTGGACAGGAGAGGGGTAAGGCCTTGGGCAGGACCACTTCTGTCACAGAGTGGTGGAAAAAAATAGATTGAAGTAAGATTCAGTACTGAAAAGCTGTCACTCGGTCTGAAAATAATTAATATTCCTTTCACTCACCAGTTAGATATGTGCTCCCAAACCACATAATCTCTATGCCTCAGTGATCATTGTTGCCATTTCAGAGCCTCTCATCAGGGTGACATCTCACACCAAAATGATTTCTTATAAATTAATCTTGATAACATGACAGTCTCGGTAATTTTAGTGGAATGCTTTCTCTTGTTTTTTTCCACAGAAGCTGTTGGCTATTTTCTTTATAACTTGATTGACAGCATGAGTGACTCAGAGGTACAGGCCAAGGAGGAGCGTTTGAGACAATACTTCCATCAGCTGAAGGAGATGGTACCATTTCATTTTTTGCTATATAATGCCTGTCCTGCCTGACATGTATCTATTAGATTTGAAATTGCTGCTTTTAAGTAAAACCAGACCACTTCTCAATGACATGCAAGAGTTGGAGACTTAAATTATGTCTGAGATAATTTCTGTTAGACAAATTTCAGTTTAGTTGTCTAAAACTCAGTGGTTTTTTTTTTTTCCCCTCCCTTCTCTTTACATAGAATGTAAAAATTCCTGAAAATATCTACAGAGGCATTCGTAATCTGCTGGATAGCTACCATGTTCCTGAATTGATTAAGGTGTGTGAAATAGTAATCAACTTTATAAAATGGTTCATTTATATATAAAAGCATGTTAAATTTTTACGTAACTATGAGGTTTTTGGCAAAAAAAAAATTATTACAACCATTAAAATATACCTTTTTTGACAGCATGAGTGACTCAGAGGTACAGGCCAAGGAGGAGCGTTTGAGACAATACTTCCATCAGCTGAAGGAGATGGTACCATTTCATTTTTTGCTATATAATGCCTGTCCTGCCTGACATGTATCTATTAGATTTGAAATTGCTGCTTTTAAGTAAAACCAGACCACTTCTCAATGACATGCAAGAGTTGGAGACTTAAATTATGTCTGAGATAATTTCTGTTAGACAAATTTCAGTTTAGTTGTCTAAAACTCAGTGGTTTTTTTTTTTTCCCCTCCCTTCTCTTTACATAGAATGTAAAAATTCCTGAAAATATCTACAGAGGCATTCGTAATCTGCTGGATAGCTACCATGTTCCTGAATTGATTAAGGTGTGTGAAATAGTAATCAACTTTATAAAATGGTTCATTTATATATAAAAGCATGTTAAATTTTTACGTAACTATGAGGTTTTTGGCAAAAAAAAAATTATTACAACCATTAAAATATACCTTTTCATTGATTATTGGCATGTACTATTTGTATATTGAAGAATACATTTTAAATATTAATTACAATGGTTAATAAAGTATGAACAATTTATGCAACATTTTGGAAAGATGGAAAAGTAGCATTAAAATAAGATGAGACACCCAAAAGTTGCTTATGACATTGACTAATATATTTTTCCATGTGTTTTCTAATTCTGTGTTAATTTGTATCCCAATTTCAGGATGTTAATATGTTGGTTGAAAGAGAGAAGATAGATTCTCGAAAAGTAAGTAGGTTTTGGAGTAGATTGTACATGCTATCGTAACCACGTTTAATGACAGTGCTAGACTGTGTTCTTGTAAAGTCAGTGGTTCCTAACTTTTGTGACTTTATGCCTCTAAGTTGATAAAACCTGTTCCCCATCTCAGAAAAATCAACTTCTCTAAGAACTTTGCACGTTATCTTAGGAGGTTCATAAGCCCCTGGAGTCTTCCCATGGATTCCCACGTTAATATCCCTGAGGGCATTTGTGACATTAAGGAAAGTCGCTTTAAAGAGAAGAATGACAAAAGGTACATTTTCTTTTTGTGGTAACTTTTTCTTTTCTTCTTTTTTGAACACCACCCCCACCCCCCATTTCTAGACTGTGCAGTTTACATCATCTGATTTGGAGTCACAACTTGAAAAGCTAAAAGCTGAAAATCAACCTATAGGAGATGTCCTAAAGCAACTCATATTAGTGCTGTGTTCTGAAGAGGTAACATGTGTTTAAATATTTCAAATATGCAGTGAAGGTAAAAATTGTTCATAGATAACAGTAAGCAAAATCAAATATAATATTTATGATTTTTATAATTGATTATCATATGTCATACTTGTGAAGAATGCAATTAAATGAAAGGTTAACTAATTTCAGTTACACCTTGAATGGCATGTTTTCAGGTTGCTGTAGTTTGTTTACGATAATCTGCAAAGTGAATGATAGTAACAGCCGTGATAGGTTTATCATACATGCCAAATGTCCTTTCAAGCCATGGCTCCGGTCTCTTATATCTAGATTGTCAAGCAACTGATACATGCAGTAGTCATTTGCAAGTCAAATATTACTAGGTTGTTAATGCAGGGATTGAAATTCCATTTTCCTGCTGGAAAAAAGCTCTTTCTGAGATAAAGGGTCTCTTGCCTTTTTCCAGCAGGCGTCCAGCTGTACTTTGTGCTCATTTTAGTGTGTGTCTGCGATTTGTGGGATATCACTAGACGTTTTTTTTCCAGTTTCCAGCTCCTTATGATTTGGTCATAAGCCAGTGATTTTAGGGGGAAAAATATCGTCACTAACTAAGATTATACCGTGGTACTATTAAATTTTAAAATATTTATGTTACTTGGATATTTAACTGGACTGAGGAACTTTTCAGTAATACCTATTTCTGCTTCTGAAAATTGGACTGTGAGTAGAAGCAGATTTGGGAAATATTTAATCTGGAACTTTTTTTTTCCCCCCTAACAATAGAATACAAAAGCTAAAACATCAAATTTGGCATAAATAATTGACAAATTTTATATTACAGATAACACATTTTGTAAGCCTTATATACATATCTGGCTTGCCTGCTTTTTAAAATGTGAATGAAAATACTGAGGGACAGAGTCAAGTTGATAATATGAAGCCATTTTTTTTTAAGTTCTATTAACTTTTTCTTAACTCTGAACATTAAACTGAAAATGTCACCTTTTTACTTTTATATTAATTTATTGTTTCACATCTGTCCTTTATTTTAGAATATGCAAAAAGCCCTTGAATTGAAAGCAAAATATGAGTCAAACATGGTTGTTGGTGGCTATGCAGCTTTAATAAATTTGTGCTGTCGACATGATAATGCAGAAGATGCATTGAGCTTGAAACAAGAATTGTGAGTACCCTGGCACAGAAACAAATAATCAACATTTATACTGATATAAAATCCTTGATGGATCGTCTAGATTAAATATTACTCTCTTATATAATGTCATTTAAGAAAATTATTTTGCTGTCATTGTTTTTGAAATTTCATAGGAAGAAGTTCTTTGATTAATTATGGCTTGCTTTCAGAAAGGTATCTCTGTTTAACTATGATAAGACATTCTTGTCTTTTTTTTCCCCAACTTCTTAATAGTCTTTTACTCACACAAAAATCACACCAAACAACACCAAAATCACGTATTAACATTTTAGATTCAGAGCTCTAAGTATAAAGTGCTTAAAGCCAAGATTTTTTGCTACATATTATAGCAGTGGTGATAGTATCTTTTTATAAAGCTTGATAAAATTTCCCTTTTTATATTGTAGTGTAAATAAAACTTTGTCCATTTCTCCGATCTTTGGTTTCTCATGCTGAGGGATTTATCAAATAAAAATATGTCTTTTGGGGGTATTTTAGTGTTCACACAGCACTATGAAACCAGTCTCTTCATTGGTATCGTTGTTAGATGGAGTGGTGCAATATATTGGGTCACCGGAAAAGTCATGACGTATTTTTCTGTTCTTTTTTTCTATGCAAAAATGCATCATGACTTTTCTGACAACCCAATATATGTAAAGCTTTTTCCTATAGTAATTTTAGTTATTGCATGTGAATATGTGTAAGACTTTAAAAGCAAATCTTTAGAGGCCAGTATTAATAAGAATTTAGACCTTCTAATGAGCTTATGAGAAGTGATCATGAATATTGCAGCCTGAAGTTCTATAAATGTGGTTTTTAATTTTTAGTGACCGATTAGATTCATCTGCTGTCCTTGACACCAACAAGTACGTAAGCCTTGTAAGAGTGTTGGGAAAGCATGGCAAGCTCCAAGGTAAGCCAACACATAAAGGAAGTATGTGATGCAAGTATCTTGCCACTGGAATAACATGCGAATTGGTATTAATGGTATATCATGTCCTGCAAAGTGCTTGAACACTTTGCATACAAATTTGCATGTGAATCCAACCAGAGCTGCATGGACAGTGTAGGCCATTAGTTTTAATGGATTGGCAAGCTTGTCATTTACATTTGCACAGCTCAGTGCTTTTTGCATTTCTGCAGCTAGTTTTTATTAGCATTGCTGTTTGGATAGAGTTTGAAGATCATGACTTATGGCACAATTTGCTTATATGCCTGCACTAATGGCTTTGTTTTTGCTTAAGAAGGTCTGAAGGCTGAACATAAAACCTGTAAACATAACATTATATGCAAGAATATGAATGTTGCCATAGTCTTTGTCTTAACTTCTAATAATGTTAACAAAATGCGTACTTAAATTTTTATTTATAAGTTCATGAGAGAGGCATAGCTGATTAGCCGATCTGCATACTCTTAATTTTCTCATTGTTGCAATAGCGCTAAGCCTAATATAATTAATTACGCTTGATAATATATTCTTACTATTTGTTTGTTGCTTAACTTTCTGATTTGGCTTTATTTTGAAACTTCCTTTTCAGCCTTTTCTTTCTTTCATTTCCAGAGAAGACATTTTATTAGGGAAAATACTTGATGTGATCATTGCACTTTTTTGTAGGAAGCCTTTCTAACAGAAAACTCTTACAAGATTAGCCTCCTTTTTAAAAACCATTTTTTATAAAGTGGTCAAAACATTTTGTCTGTATAATAATTAAGAACAACATTATAAAAATGCACTTATTCCATATCCTAAAATGTTTGTTTCTGCCTTTTAATGAAGCTTAATGAATCTAATGTATTAACATGCAGTCTTTTGGAAAGCTTTCATTGGCTCTGCTTGGCTAATTAGTATCGACATAGCAAACAGGCCCTATCGGTATCAGACCATTAGTCTGGCTGTATATACAGTGTAAACACATCTTTATTATCTGGCCTCCTGACAAGCCATCTGCTGAAGAAACAATGGTGTGATTTAGCAGATGTTAGCTCTGAACGATAAAAGCATCCATTTAGGAGGATCTTACAGCTATAGGGCAGACCGTACAGGGTTAGTGGTGCCGAGTGGGCACACAGTCCCTATCTATAATTTGTAGTCAAAGTTGCAGGGAAATGATAAAACCATGCTATTGTGGATTTATAATTGTAGTCTCGTTTAGAAATGCAAGTAGTAATTAACTTGAAATCGGCATTATACACTAGAATTTACATT